TTAACCTCCCCCCCCCCCCCCGCAGCCAATTCTCCTGATCTCAAACAGCCCAAGGGAGCTGCTATGTTTGCCCTTCTGGGGTAAAAAGACAGAGTGCCCTAGCGGGGCAAAGGGCAACTGCCCGGGACTGGTTTATGTCGGGAAAACGACGGGGAAAGGCTTAACGTCCCCCTCCTCTCCTTGCGCCAAGGTCCTGATCCAGATAAGCAGTGAAGTGGCTAAATTTGCGGATGATATGAAGTTGTTCAGGGTGGTGAATACCAGTGAGGATTGTGAGGCACTCCAAAGGGATCTGTCAAAGATGGGCAAGTGGGCGTCAACATGGCAAATGGGGTTCAATGTGGTCAAGTGCAAGGTGATGCACATTGGAGCCAAAAATCCTAAATATAAATATACATTGATGGGGTCTGAACTGGCAGAGACTGATCAAGAGGGAGTTGTAGTAGATAACTCACCGGAAATGTCGAGACAGTGTGCGACTGCAATAAAGAAGGCCAATGCTATGCTGGGGATTATTAGGAAAGGTATTGAAAACAGATCAGCCAATATCATAATGCCCCTATATAAATCAATGGTGAGACCTCATCTGGAATACTGTGTGCAGTTCTGGTCACCACACCTTAAAAAGGATATTATAGCTTTGGAAAAAGTGCAGAAAAGGGCAACTCGAATTATAAAAGGGTTGGAACAGTTTCCCTATGAAGAAAGGTTAAAGCGCTTAGGGCTCTTTAGCTTGGAGAAACGACGACTGAGGGGTGACATGATTGAGGTTTATAAGATTATGCATGGGGTAGAGCAGGTAGAGAAAGAGGTACTTTTCTCCCTTTCTCACAACACAAGAACTCGTAGGCACTCCATGAAATTCCTGATCAGTCGGGTTAGAACGGATACCATGGCCGTTTCTGGCTTGGCCCCGAGTTGCCAGAAGAAAGACTGAGTGAGCCAGTTTCCGCTTATGGCCAGAGGGGAAGAAAAGGAGTCTTGGGCAGCGCTCCGTCATTCGGGGAGGGCCATGCTTCGAGGTGTCTCCAGAATGAGGCCATGGCACCCTCCACGCGAGCGACACTTTGCCAACTCTGTCCAGAGAGTGCATGATGAATTTGCCGCTGTCGCCAGCCACCTCCCTCTCTGGCCATGCCAAGAGCTTTCCAGCTTGATCCTGTCCAGTAACGCCGGAAGAAAATGTGGATTGCGTTACTGGGGAGTCAAGCCAGACTCCGGGCCTTAATGAGTCAGGATGCTGTTGGTAATTAGTGGCAAGAAAAGGAGATGCCGGGAATGCTAAAGGGGGGGGGGGGAGAGGAAATGACAGAAAGAGTCTCTCCTCCCGCCATCCATCGCAACGTGGGACTGAGTGGTCTTGCGCTGGGACAGTTTCTTGAACTGAGAGCAAAGCACCGCCCCCAGGGGTTATGCAGGAAACTGTACTGCAGTGACGGCGAACCATTTAGAGACCGAGTGCCCAAACTGCGACCCAAAACCCACTTATTTATCGCAAAGTGACCACACGGCCATTTAACCTGAATGCTGAGGTTTTACTTTAGAAAAAACAACTCACACATTAACTGAAGATGATCCAAACAAAGTAAGGAAAGCAATCCCAAATGCTTTCATTTACTTAAAATTATTTGGCAGAGAATTCGACACTTTAATGATGGTCTGGGCCTGGCTGGGGCGATGGCACCCGTGCCATAGGTTCGCCACCACTGCTGTACTGCATGGGAGAGCCAGTTCGGTGTAGTGGTTAAGTGTGTGGACTCTAATCTGGGAGAACCGGGTTTGATTCCCCACCCCTCCACTGGCACCTGGCTGGATGACCTTGGGTCAGTCACAAGTTCTTCAGAGCTGTTCTTGAAAAAAACAGCAGTTTCTGTCAAGAGTTCTCTCAGCCCCACCTGCCTCACAGGGTGTCTGTTGTGGGGAGGGGAAGGGAAAGGAGTTTGTAAGCCGCTCTGAGACACCTTTGGGTAGTGAAGGGCGGGGTATAAATCCAATCTCTTCCTCTTCTTCTTCTTCTACTGTGGGAGCCTTTTGATTATTTCCTTAATTTCATTTCTCGCAGCATAGAGTTTGGAGATTACAAGTGCACTCTGCCCCCCGGCCAAAAAAACCAAACCCCATTTGCAGAAGAGCTCACCTGCCACTTCTCTGCTTGATTGATCGACTGGGAAACAGCATGGTGTAGTGGCTAGAGCAGGGCCCCCCACCCTTTTGGGGCCTGTGGGAACCTTTGGAATTCTGACACAGGGTGGTGGGCGCAGCTGCAAAATGGCTGCTGGTAGTGGCAGAGCCTTCCGCTCATAGGAAAATAAGAAGAACCCTGCTGGATGAGAGCAGTGGTCCATCTTAGTCCCGCATCCTGTCTCAAAAAGTGGCTTCAACCAGTTCCTCTGGAAGGGCCAGCAACAGGGCAGAGTGGCCGAGGCCTTCCCCTGATAAGGACATCAGAAGCGCCCTGCTGGATCAGACCAGTGAGGGTCCATCTCGCCCAGCATCCTGTCTCACACAGTGGCCTCAACCAGTTCCTCTGGAGGGCCAACAACAGGTCAGAGAGGCCGAGGCCTTCCTCTCATAAGAACACAAGAAAAGCCCCGCTGGATCAGACCAGTGAGGGTCCATCTAGTCCAGCATCCCGTCTCACACAGTGGCCTCAACCAGTTCCTATGGAGGGCCGACAACAGGGCAGAGAGGACGAGGCCTTCCCCTCAAAAGACCATCAGAAGAGCCCTGCTGGGTCAGACCAGTGAGGGTCCATCTAGTCCAGCATCCCGTCTCACACAGTGGCCTCAACCAGTTCCTCTGGAGGGCCAACAACAGGGCAGAGAGACCGAGGCCTTCCAATGATATTGCCACCCGGCTCTGGGAGTCAGAGGTTGACTGTCTCTGAACATGGAGGTTCCCAAATGAAAGAGGCTGGCTGCAAGCCTACTCTCCCCCAAGCCGGCTCTGTGAAAGGAGGCGTGCATTCTTCCAACGGCAAAACCCCCAATTCCCAGCTCCCTCTTCTGGCTCTGTCTGTTCTCATCAGACGGATGCAAATTGCAGGCTTTCATTCCAGCAGCTGAGCTCTGCTCCTGACAGGTTAACTGCCACGTGGCTTGGCTCAGTGCTGATTTTTTAAAAACGGGTTTCTAAATGAATAGATGCGGTGCCTCGCAGCCAGCGCATGAACTCTGCGGCCAGATGCAGGGAATCGGAGTGGGGCAGAGGAGGAGAGAGGCCATTCACAGCCAAGCCGCGAGCTCAGAGCGAGCCAGGAGCCGCAAGCTCAGAGCGAGCCATGAGCCGCTCAGCACCCAGCAGAAAGATGGCGATGCAACTCTGAGCGGAGAAAAGCTTGTTTGGGAGGAGGCGGGGCGGTGATGGAGGACAGGCAGCCCTTCAGCGGGACCCCCAAGAGACTTTTCAAGGCCTTGGCCGTGAGCTCCTCCCCTGAACTCTGCAGGTCAGGGAAAACATGAAAGAGGTTGCCTTTGGCAGAGGAGGGAGAAACGTCTGCTCTTGGCACCTTAGAACTCCGGAGGGATGTATCCTGAGGATCGGTTCCGCCCGCAGTACCGTCCCCTACCACAATGGCATCGCATAGCTTGGCTCCCTCGTTTGACTCAGCCGGGGACGATCTGCTCGACCAATCCTGAAAGGCCACTCGCTGCCGGCTCTTGAGGCCAACTCAATGATGCTAGCGATTCTAGGACCTTAAGTACAGGCAGAGCGGGGCACGTCAAGCTGGGATTTTTCAGTTCAGAAAAGAGACGACTAAGGGGCGATGGGATGGAAGTTTGTCAAATTAGGCAGGGGGTGGAGAGAATGGGCAAAGGGAACTTTTTCTCCCTCTCCCAAAATTCTGGAACTGGAGGGTACCAATGAAGCTGACGGGCAAGGTGGACAAAAGGAGAACACTACCTTTACACAGGGATTGATTAAAATGTGGAATCTGCTGCCAGAGGATGTAGTGATGGCCGTGAGAATTTAAAAGGTTCAAAAGGGATTCATGAAGGATAAGTCTATCAATGGCTACTAGCCATGGCGACTGCGTGGAACCTCCACATTCAGAGGCACTCATCCTCTGAATCCCAGAGCCAAGAGGCAACATCAGGGGAGGCCTTTGTCTTCATACCCTGTTTTGGGCCCTCCAGAGAAACTGGTCGAGGCCAGGGGTCATTTCCTGCAGGAACGCACAGGAGGGGAGCTCCAGCAGTAAAGAGCCCAGGGGGCGGGCACATGCAACAAGCCCCACCCCCTGCTCCCAGTAGCCTTCAGTCAGAGCAAGAAGCAGCCAGGTAAGTTGCAGAGCTCTCCCCCCCTGCCCCCCCGGTCCAAAACAGTCCAGTGGCACCTTTAAGACCAAGTTTTATTCAGGTACAAGCTCTCCCTCCTCTGCGAGGATCTGCATGTGTCCCCCCCCCCAATAGCTAGCAATCCAAAACAGTTCAGTGGAGCCTGAGCGGTGGGTGTTGCCTTCTGACACACTTCCGGTGACGCCAGGGTGTGTGGCATATGCAAATAAGTTATGCTAATGAGCGCCTGCACCTCTTTTTCTACGAAATGACCCCTGGTCGAGGCCACTGTGTGAGACAGGATGCTGGATTAGTTGGACCCTCACTGGTCTCATCCAGCAGGGCTCCTCTGATGTTCTTAGTTTCCTCTGCCTCCACAATTCAGTAGGGCAGCCCCTTTGGCACAAATTTTTACCCCTAGTTGAGTAAAGGAGGCTTAAGTTGTCTAGGGAGGTGGTGAGCTCCCCCTCACTGGCAGTCTTTTAGCAGCGGCTAGAGGCACCGTTGTCAGGGATACTTCAGGCGGATCCTGCAGTGAGCAGGGGGCTGGACTAGATGGCCTGTAGGGCCCCTTCCACGATTCCAAGTTAGTTAAACCCCCTCAAACAAAACCCTCGGCCCGCCAACCGTGAAGGAGCACCCGGCCCTCCAGGACGCCTTACCGTGCAGGTGGTGAGCAGCCAGCCAATGATGGCCCAGCGAGGCAGGATGTCGGAGCTCAGCACCTCGTTGGACGGGTGGACCACCCCGCAGATGTAGCGGATGAGGTCACAACGCAGGGACTGGCTGTCCGGGGTGGACAGGTACTGCCGCTGGAACCAGTCTTGGTACCTCTTCTGTTGGCCAAAGCGCACCTAGGGGGAGGGAGGAGGAAGAGAGGAAGGGAGTGGGCATGGTTGGCGTGGGGGCAAGACACGCGCTGTTCAACTGGGCCACGCTGGCTTGAGAAGGGGAGGAAGAGCAGGCTATGTGCCTGCAAAAAACAGGCTTGGAAGAGGTGACTACCCGGCTACCCATATAGAAGGGCTTCCTCGGGAGGTGGGGGGCTCCCCTTCTTTGGAGGTTTTCGAGCAGAGGCTAGGTGGCCGCCTGACAGCAATGCAGATTCTGTGGACTTGGGCAGATCACGAGAAGAGAGGGCAGGAAGGGCTGCCTCAGTGCTTAGTTCTCGTGGCCCTTCCTTACATGCTCAGGGAACTGCCAGTCGCCACTTTGGGGTCAGGAAGCGATTTTTCTCCAGGCCAGTTTAGCTGGAGATCCTGGAGGTTTTTTTGCTATCTTCTGGCTGTGGAACAGGGGTCACTGGGTGTGTGTTTAGGGGGGGGAGGTATTTGTGGATTTCCTGCATCATGAAGGGGGTTGGACTAAACAACCCTGGAGGTCCTTTCTGGCTCTATGATTCTACGACTTCCACATGGCATTGACCAGAGGGCCAGATCAACCCCAGTGCATCAAGGTGGGGGGCCTGGTTAACCCAGCTTCACCTCCTCTCCCTCCCAAAGGGGTCAGCGACACCACTGAAGCGACCTTCCAAGTTGGCCTGCAGAAGAAGAGCAAGGTTTGAGTCCAGCCACGCCCTGGAGTTCCAGGGCCCTTTGACTCTCAAAAGCCTGGCAAGCCTGTTGCTCCTTAAGGTGCTACTGGACTCGGATCTTCCTTCCCAGCTTAACCCGCTCTTCACCAGACTGCATGACGCTGCTGTGTGTCCCCTGCCCCGCAGCCGGCCGGTCTTACCCGAGAGGTCATGAAGAGCAGCTTGGTCTCCATATCCGGTGTCAGGCGGAAGGCCAGGAACTTGCGCGAAGTCCGGGACTGCAGGAGCTGCAACAAGCCTGCGGGGGGAGAAGTGGCAAAAAACCAAAGGCCGTCAGGGCTACGTGCGCTCGGCTGACCAGCAGTGCCCCTGGGGAGCATTACAGCCAGAGGTTGTGAGGCTGTCGGTCGGCGGGGATCTCAGCTGGTGCCTGGGAGAGGCCTCCAGAACGGCACACAGTGCTCCAGGCGCACAGTGGGACTATGGCATCTTGTGAATGGGACGTACTGCCTGTGTTGATACACCCTAAAACTGCATTTGCCTTATATGCTGCTGCGCTCAACAGCTGGCGTGATGTAGTGGTTAGACTGCTGGGCTAAGAACTAGGAGATCTGTCATGGATGCCAGTTTGGCACAGTGGTTAGGATCTTCGGACCCCGATCCGGGAGAACCGGGTTTTGATTCCCCACTCCTCCGCATGAAGCCAGCTGGGTGACCTTGGGCAAGCCACAGTTCTCTCAGAGCTGTCGTCTCAAGAGCAGTTCTCAGGAGAGCTCTCTCAGGCCCACCTACCTCACAGAGTGTCTGTTGTAGGGAGAGGAAGGGAAAGGAGATTGTAAGCCGCTCTGAGACTCCGAGCGAAGGGCGGGGTGTAAATCCAATCTCTTCTCCTCCTCCTCATTTTGGGCCAGTCACACACTCTCAGCCTAACTTACCTCACAGGCAGGGGTCATTTCCTGCAGAAGCGCACAGGAGCGGAGCTCCGGCAGTAGAGCGCCCAGGGGGCGGGCACATGCAACAAGCCCCGCCCCCTGCTCCCAGCAGCCCTCAGTCAGAGCAAGAAGCAGCCAGGTAAGTTGCAGAGCTCCCCTGGTCCAAAACAGTCCAGTGGCACCTTTAAGACCAAGTTTCATTCAGGTACAAGCTCTCCCTCCTCTGCGAGGACAGATCTGCACGTCCCCCCTCCCCAATAGCGAGCAATCCACAACAGCCCAGTGAAGCCTGAGCGGTGGGTGTTGCCTTCTGACACACTTCCGGTGATGTCAGGGGGCGTGGCATATGCAAATAAGTTATGCTAATGAGTTATGCTGATGAGCTCCTGCACCTCTTTTTCTACGAAATGACCCCTGCTCACAGGGTTGTTGTGAGGATCAAACGGAGGCGAGGGGAATAACACAAACTGCTTTGAGTTCCCCACTGGGGAGGAAGGTGGGGTATAAACTAAGGAAACAAACAAAAGTCGCCACCCTCCCCAGGTGGCTGTTCCAGCAATTCAGCCTGCCTGTCTTTGCTTGCCCAATTTTCTCACCTTGCTCGGTATCCAAAGGCTGTGAGCCGCCTGCACACCAAGGAGAAAATGTTTATGTACGTTTACTGTATTTTCATAGGTGCAGAGATGAACATGGACGTGCGGGCACAACGTCTACCGAAATCACGAAAGCCGGAGAGGTGGCTGAATGAGACTGCCCAGGATGCATATGCGTATGCGTCTGCCTGTGCCCCGGCCCGCAACCGGTAAAATCAGAACAAATTAAGCAGAATCGGAGGTCGATTCGCGTAACTTATACATATTGAAGACTCCAGCTGCTCTGAGTCCCCCAGGCTGAATTTCTTAAAACTGAAGCGCAGCATACGCACCAAATCCGCCTACGGACCATCTAAAATTCTGTATTAAAAACACAAGAGCTTCTTTTGGGATTTCGCTACGGAATTTTCAGAACTGAGAAGAACTTGGATCTTCTCCTCCTCAAAGTGGTTTACAATCACCTTCCCTTCCTCTCTCCATAACAGACACCCTGTGAAGTAGGTGGGGCTGAGAGAGCTCTGAGAGAACTGGGACTGGCCCAAGGTCACCCAGCAGGCCTCATAGGTCTCAAAAGTGGCTTACAATCGCCTTCCCTTCCTCTCCCCACAACAGACACCTTGTGGGATAAGTGGGACGGAGGGAATTCTGAGAGAACTTGTGACTGACCTAAGGTCACCCAGCTGGCTTCATGTGGAGGAGTGGGGAGTCAAACCCGATTCTCCAGATTAGAGTCCGCTGCTCTTAACCATGACACCACACTGGCTCTCAGCCCTTCTGCATGCCAGGTAAGACTTGGCAACCCTATTAAGCTGTGAGGGAACAACTGACCCAAGATCACCCAGGAAACAGCCTTGGCACAGTATGTATTCGAACAGGTATAATAACAATTGATTGGCACAGTAATGAAATAATACAGAGAACAAGAAAAACTGTGAAAAAGTGATGCTTAAGATATGTCTTTAAAGAATCATAGAAAAGTGAACAAAAATAATATACATAATCATAAAAAAAATATATTGACGGTGATCTCCGGATTGTCTTGCCGTTTCGAAGGAAGATCTTCTGAACAAAGATGTGGGACAAAAACTGTCTCTCAATAGTTCACATCCTCTGGTGACGTCTCACAATTATCAAAGAAGATTTTCAATAATCATAACAGCTGTAATGTATAGTAGTAAGATGATTAGCCCATGGCAGGTTCTACTATACATTACAGCTGTTATGATTATTGAAAATCTTCTTTGATAATTGTGAGACGTCACCAGAGGATCTTCCTTCGAAACGGCAAGACAATCCGGAGATCACCGTCAATATATTTTTTTTATGATTATGTATATTATTTTTGTTCACTTTTCTATGATCCTTTAAAGACATATATTAAGCGTCACTTTTTCACAGTTTTTCTTGTTCTCCACGGTATGTATTCGAACCAGCGTCTCCCAGACCCTTGTCTGACACTCTAACCCAGGCATTCCTTTTTTTAAAAAAAACAAACAATTTTTACTGTCAGGATATAACAACATGTCCAATATTACACCATTTCCCCTTTTTAAATACATCCCTTATCTAAATCTCCCTCCCTCCCCTGCTTCAGGCTTCCCGCAGCGTTCCCACCCCCACCATGTCTCATTTTCTTATTCTTTCCCTTTTTTTTTAACCATACGTAAAAATTCATATTTTCTTTTACTACCTTTTTTTAAAATTCTCAGCCTTATAGGTAACCTGTTCTATAACCATTTCATTCTGACATATCTCTAGTCTATTCTTAATAGTTATTAAAGCAAAACAAATTATTCTTAACATCCCAGTGTTTCTCAATATGGTCTTTAAAGTCCTTCCAGTCTGTAAAAAATTCCTCATCTTCTTTGTTATTCAATTTTCTTGTCATTTTATCCATTTCTGCCATGAAAAGTAACTTCCTTATCCATTCCCATAGTTTGGGTACTTTTTCTTGCTTCCAGCATTGAGCATAAGTCATTATAGGCGTTGGCTCTTTTTGTAGCAGGAACTCCTTCGCATATTAGGCCAATGTAGCCAATCCTCCAAGAGCTTACAGAGCTCTTCTTACAGCGGCTACTGTAAGCTCTTGGAGGATTGGCTACATTAGGGGGGGGTGTCGCTTAATATGCAAAGGAGTACCTGCTACAAAAAGAGCCCTGCCAGATACCATAACAATGTTCTTAACCCAGGCATTCTGAGCCCAAGGGGGCCTTGGGAACCCTGACCCAAAATGGAGGTGACCAGAGGCGGAATCTGCCAAAGAACGGCTGTCGCGGCTGACCTTCACTCACACAGTGGGGAGATCCTTGTACTGCACTGACGGCAACCGCTGATGCAATTTAAAAAAAAAGATCTGCACAGCCAATCAGAAACCTTGCTGGGCAAAAAATCCCCGCCCCACCCTCTTTTAAAAAACACTTGGTGGGTGCCAGGATAGGCGTTGGGGGCGTGCAGGCGCCCAGGGGTGCTGTGTTGGGGGACCCCTTGCTTTAACCGCCGCAGCACGCCGGCTCTCGCTGAAACAGAGGGTTCGCGGCAGGGTTGAACGGAACCAGAAAGCTCTCTGAAAGGTACAAAACGGGACTCTCTGCTGAACGAGGCCGGTGGAGGTTGGCGGGGAAATCTCCTCTCCCCGAAGAGCTGTTAGAATGGCTAACAATACGATGGCCTTGGGAAGGAGTGATTCCACTATCCAGCTACTTGTTCTCACGTTCGCCCACCCACGGGGAGTGTGGTTATGGAACAGGCCTCCCACCAGGCTTGGTCGACAGGATGAGAGCTTTCGCATCTCTCTCCTGGGAGCTACGTGCCTAAATCCCGTGCTGGAGGCGCTTTCTCCCTGCCCGTGAGAGAGAGAGCACAGGCCAAGCCTCGGCACATTTAAGAGCAGGACAAGTGGGAAGGAAAGGCCCGGGGAGTTGGGGCAGGCAGCTCCTCTCACCCCTTCCGACAATAATCCATCTCTAAGACGGCTGCAGGAGCCGCGTCAAAAATCCATCATCTGTCGAACGTGGCACGCAAAGAAGTGCTTTTCTACGCAGCCTGAACTCAGAATGAGCGCAAAGTGGATTGGAAGACGGCGCTGGCAGGAAGCTGCCGAACAGGACGTGCTTAGCCGAAATGCACCTGGAATTTCATAAAACCACGAGAAGAGCCCTGTTGGATAAATTAGACCAGCGGTCCATCTAGTCCAGCATCCTGTCTCACACGGTGGCCTCAACCAGTTCCTCTGGAGGGCCAACGACAGGGCATAGAGGCCGAGGCCTTCCCCTCATAAGAACATCAGAAGAGCCCTGCTGGATCAGACCAGTGAGGGTCCATCACATCCAGCATCCTGCCTCACACAGTGGCCTCAACCAGTTCCTCTGGAGGGCCAACCACAGGGCATAGAGGCCGAGGCCTTCCCCTCATAAGAACATCAGAAGAGCCCTGCTGGATCAGACCAGTGAGGGTCCATCTAGTCCAGCATCCTGCCTCACACAGTGGCCTCAACCAGTTCCTCTGGAGGGCCAACAGCAGGGCAGAGAGGCTGAGGCTTTCCCCTCATAAGAACACAAGAAAAACCCCGCTGGCTCAGACCAGTGAGGGTCCATCTAGTCCAGCGTCCTGCCTCACACAGTGGCCTCAACCAGTTCCTCTGGAGGGCCAGCAACAGGGCATAGAGGCCGAGGCCTTCCCCTCATAAGAACCTCAGAAGAGCCCTGCAGGATCAGACCAGTGAGGGTCCCTCTAGTCCAGCATCCTGTCTCACACGGCTTCTTGGAAAGGTGGAAAGTGGGACAGTCGATGCCGCAAAGGTAGCGAACGGGCCACTTTCAACCGACCCTTTCTGTGAGTCACCGTTTGTTAATGTCTAATGGTAATCGGATTCCCGTGTCCTCTCGTGCTTGCTTCCTCCGTTGATTTATCGTCTCATGAATGTTTTAAATGGTATCGCAAGCCAGGCCTCAAAAGGCAGAAAGGATGGGAATGAAAGTCCCAAATAAATATATCATTTTGCAGAATCAAAGTTTTATGGCCGGACTTTATAGGCGTACTAATAATACTTTATCACCTTGATATGTTCAAAATGCTTTGAGGTTTTTTACACTTGAACCTGTCTGAAGAGCAAAGGAAACGGTTTGCTTGCTTTGCTGGGTTTCAGGGACTGGTAAGTCACTGAGAGACACAACTGCATGTATGAATCAGCCACAGCTATGGTTGCAAGCTCTCCCCATAGCCACCAGGAACGGGGGTTAGGGTTCCCAGATCCAGGTCGGAAGACTCCTGGGGATTGCAGGAGGAGCCTGGGGAGGACAGGGACCCAAGTGGGATACAATGTCACAGAGTCCACCCTCCAAAGCAGCCATTTCCTCTCCAGGGGAACTGCCCCAGGTCCCACCTGGAGGCTGGCATCCCTAGCCCCGACCATTTCCCGAAGATAATTTCAAAATAACAATGCGATCAGGACTCAAGCTGGCCCACAGCCAAAGATCTGCGAAGGTTGGCTGAGGTGGGGGGGGAGGAGGAGGAGGAGAGATAGGTGGGGCTAAGAGAGCTCTTTCGAGAACTGCTCGTGAGAGAACAGCTCGGAGAGAACTTGTGATTGACCCAAGGTCACACCAGCAGCTGCATGTGGAGGAGGAGGAAGAAGAAGAGATTGGATTTATACCCCGCCCTTTACTCGGAGTCTCAGAGCGGCTTACAAACTCAGAGCAGCTTACAAACTCCTTTCCCTTCCCTTCCCCTCCCCACAATAGACAGCCTGTGAGCAGTGTTCCCTCTAAGTTGAGTTAGTGTGAGCTAGCTCACGGTTTTTTAGCCTCCAGTTCACACATTTTTGCCTTAGCTCAGGAAGGATGGCTCCTGAGCAAACTAATTTATGCAGTAAGCCAAATCACTCGCTCACAGGTTTTTAGCCTCCAGCTCACAGATTTTTGTTTTAGCTCAGGAAGGGATGGCTCCAGAGCAAACTGAGTCATACAGTAGCCAAATCACTTGCTCACAACTTTAATGCCAGTAGCTCACAAAGTAGAATTTTTGCTCGCAAGACTTCACAGCTTAGAGGGAGCATTGCCTGTGAGGTAGGTGGGGCTGAGAAAGTGGCTTACAAACTCCTTTCCCGTCCCCTCCCCACAACAGACACCCTGTGAGCAATGTTCCCTCTAAGCTGTGGACTCTTGTGAGCAAAAATTCTACTTTGTGAGCTACTGGCATTAAAGTTGTGAGCAAGTGATTTGGCTACTGTATGACTCAGTTTGCTCTGGAGCCATCCCTTCCTGAGCTAAAACAAAAATCTGTGAGCTGGAGGCTAAAAACCTGTGAGCTAGCTCACACTAACTCAGCTTAGAGGGAACACTGCCTGTGAGGTAGGTGGGGCTGAGAGAGCTCTCTCGAGGACTGCTCTTTTTCAAGAACAGCTCTGACAGAACTATGGCTTGCCCAAGGTCATCCAGCAGCAAACCCGGTTCTCCCAGATTAGAGTCCACACTCCTAACCACTACACCAGACTGGCTCTCTGCACATGCTTGGAGGCACTCTGTGTGCTGCCTCAGATAGCCAGGCCTTCCCGGCGCCGAGCTCTCGCTCACAGTGAGCCTTCCGTTGTTCCGAATGACTTTCCCAGCGTTCCAGGAGGGAGCCAATGCGTGGCGCAGTTTCAGCCTTAGTAACTAGAAACTAAATTATAATTAAAAAGAACTTTATAGGCGAGGGGAGAATATGTTGACAGCAGCAAGAGGAAACAAAGTGTTCTCGTAATTCCTAATTGAAGTGGCCTGGGCTGCTATGGACGAGGGGGGCCGCGCAGTTTGTCGAGGCAGACGGAAGGCGCCTGTGGGGGGGGAAAGGGGGAGATTTGGTCTCTTGCAAAGGATGGGGAATGTGGGTGTCCCACTAGGACCTCTAGGGCTCAGTGGAGGATCAAAAGCCCTGCCTCCGGCAGGAAATAAATCTGAAGGGGACAGCCAGTGCTCCACCACCCGGGATGGGACTCCCGGCCTCAACAGGGGAGCGTGAGAGAGCGGTAGCCATGCTGGAAAGTTCAGCTACCCTTCTCTATTGGCACAGACTGAACCCAAAGGGACTTTTGTGGTGGCCAACCTCTAGGTCGGGGTGTCAAACATAAGGCCCGGGGGCCGGATCCAGCCCATCCAGGGCTCTTATGCGGCCCGCGAGCAACCGATGCAAGGGAGGGAGTGGGCGGAGCCACTCTGTTGTGGCTTTTGCACAGCAGGACAACCTTGCCTGTAGCAGTCAAGCATCGTGGGAGCTGCACTGCTGCCTCTCCGGTCCGCCTCTGTCGGTTTCCCTCTGCACCCCCCCCTCCCACCCCATGGGGCCTTGCAGTGAGGACACACCAACTCGGAGCTTACCAGCTGCTGTCCCTTTATACCGTTTCTGTCTCCAGTACCTGGCATTACGTTTTATGGCACACACGGCCCGGCCCGACAAAGAGACATTTATGTCGGATCCGGCCCTCGTAACAAATACGTTTGACACCCCTGCTCTAGGTGGTAGAGAAATAGTCAGTGACAACCGTGGTATACTTAAGAAGGGAATAGCACGCTTCTTTACATTTTCAAAAAAAATAGATAAATATTAATACACTTCTGTGCATTCACACAGGAATAAACATTTAAAAAACACAATGATTCCGCAATGTTGACAATCATGGTCCAATGCTGTTCTTCTCTACTGCAGGAGCCTGCCTAGTCCTATCCACCTCGAGCGTCATCCAATGCACCGCGCTGCCTCCTGATGTGACTAGTCCACAATGTGTCCCGGCGGTTAATTTGTGTCTGGCGGGGCTGCCTTCACTTACCTGTGAACTGCGGGCTCAGCGCCTGCGGGTTGTGGATAATGTCCTTCCAGAGCTGCTCAAACTCGGGTATCCTAGCAACGTTCTGCAAGAGTCTCACCAGATCCCGGCCAATCACGGCGCAATCCATGAACTTTGCGGGAGGGAAAAAAGAAAAAAAAAAGAAGGGAGAGATGTTACTGTTTACCGGTTCTCGGGCAGAGGGACAGGGACAGAATGAATCTATCTGTGCAGGGGGGGGGGGGCACTGAGTCCCAAAATCGCTTGTGAGCCAAGGAATGATTCATCCGACTTCACCTAACACTGAAGAGGTCTGCCCCCGGGGAAAATTACCCTTTGAAGACAGCAAACTCCAAAGAGCCGACATGGCAAGAGAGAAGGTCAGCTGCTATTATTTTTAAAGGATGACTGACAATGTGAAAACAAACAAGCCCGGCTATAAATTTTGAGGCTCCGGCTAATTCCGAAGCTTTGTGGGGGCCAAGGCTCAGTCTTCACCTTCCGCATCGAAGCAAAGGTCCAAGATGTTCCCAACACTATCAGGGCCTCGGCACTAGCGTTCGGCTCCGAGAAGCAGCGTCTCCACCGCTGTGCGTGCTGCTTGCTGTTGGTGGGGCTACTAGCGATGGCGGCTGAGGGGAACCTCCACATTCAGAGGTACTAAGCCTCAGAATCCCAGAGCCAGGAAACAACATCAGGGGAAGGCCTCAGCCTGTTGTTGGCTCTCCAGAGGAACTGGTTGGGGCCACTGTGTGAGGCAGGATGCTGGACTAGAGGGACCCTCACTGGTCTGATCCAGCAGGACTCTTCTGATGTACTTATGAGGGGAAGGCCTCGGCCTCTCTGCCCTGTTGTTGGCCCTCCAGAGGAACTGGTTGAGGCCACTGTGTGAGGCAGGATGCTGGACTAGAGAGACCCTCACTGGTCTGACTCAGCAGGGCTCTTCTGATGTTCTTCTGAGGGGAAGGCCTCGGCCTCTCTGCCCTGTTGTTGGCCCTCGAGAGGAACCAGTTGAGGCCACTGTGTGAGGCAGGATGCTGGACTAGATGGACCCCCACTGGTCTGATCCAGCAGGACTCTTCTGATGTTCTTCTGAGGGGAAGGCCTCGGCCTCTCTGCCCTGTTGTTGGCACTCCAGAGGAACTGGTTGAGGCCACTGTGTGAGGCAGGATGCTGGACTAGATGGACCCTCACTGGTCTGATCCAGCAGGGCTCATCTGATGTTCTTATGAGGGGAAGGCCTCGGCCTCCATGCCCTGTTGTTGGCCCTCCAGAGGAACTGGTTGAGGCCACTGTGTGAGGCAGGATGCTGGACTAGATGGACCCTCACTAGTCTGACCCAGCAGGGCTCTTCTTATGTTCTTATGAGGGGAAGGCCTCGGCCTCTCTGCCCTGTTGTTGGCCCTCCAGAGGAACTGGTTGATGCCATTGTGTGAGAAAGGATGCCGGACTAGAGGGACCATTCGTCTCATCCAGCAGGGCTCTTTTTATGTTCTTAAAGGTGACCCCTCCCCAATCCACTTTTAGTTTGAGAGCCACTGTGTGGCTCAGCCACACGTTGGACGTCGCCAAGACAGACTGAGATTCAACCCTGCTCAGTTCCCTGGCTCTGGGTGCTTTAACAAACCCATTACCTCAGCCAAATTTACCTCATGAGCTGTTTCATGAGAGGGGGAAAAATGGAATTACTCCCCTGAGTAGGCTCTGTAACTCTCCCCGGAGGAAGGTGTAGGTAAACATACAAACGTAGTAAAGAATAAATGGGCGTCAGAGTGGTGTCCGTCAGTATGCAGGGAGTACAAGGCAAATGAGGGATTCAGCCGATAGAAAGGGAGGGTGTGTTTAGGGATCTGGACTGAGGAAGAAAGACCCTGAAAAGCGAGAGCGGCTGAAGAGAGGTGACACACATGCTTCGGACGGATAAGCGCTCTGGGTTTTCCTCACCCGTTCGCGGAGCAGAGAGATACAGAAGTCCACCTCCTTCTGCCGCAGGGCCTGCAGCTGCGAGGAGCCGTGGTGGTCCACGATGAGGCGCAGGAACGTGTACACGGACATGGCGATCAGCACCGAGCTCTTCAGCACCCACTCCCTGCAAGGCACACAGAACGGCAAAGAGATTCTTGTGGGAAATCAAAAGGCTTTTCCCTCCTGGAGAGTTTGGGGACAAGGACCGGAGAGTCCTGGGTTCCAGTCTCCACACTGCTGTGGAAGCTCGCTGGGTGAGCACGGGCCAGTCACATAGCCTGACCTCACAGAGTTTTTCTGAGGATAAAATGGAGAAGAAGAGAACGATGTAAAGCTGTGCTCTGGGTCTCCAGTGGGGAGAAAAGCGATGTGTGAATGGACTAAATAAAAAGTTTAGGGGAACAGAAGTGGGACCATTTTATCACTGGCACCCTGGCTGAGAAAACCCCCTCCCCTGTCACGGAAGCCCATCAGAGGCACTCTCTTATCTTTCAGGAGGCCGGAGGGGACCTGGCAGTCGCAGGAGGCCATCAGAGCGGAAGACAGAGCGTTTGATGCAGTCTCCTTTGGCTCCAGGCCGGTAGCTAGGATTTTGTGGCTTTGGGGGCAATTTTTTTTTTGGTGGGGCTGAAGTTCTCCATGCAGAAAGGAAAGGAAATAGACATTTATCCAACAGAAAGCTGTTACCAGGAGAGATCTCTAAACTGCAAGCCGTCAACCACTCTAGATGACGGTTCTCAGCGGCTGCAAGTTAATCACTTCTGCCGGCCTAAGCAGCAATTCTGAGAACAAGCCGGCAGGTGGGAAGTGATGACTTCTACAGTCAAGAAAGCGCACACTCAAGCAAAAAGACTCTCCTCAAGGAGACCAGTTTCTTGACACAGAGTGAGAAGGGATCCCAGAGGTCACTTACTCCCACCCCCTTGCTCAGCGTGCGAAATAGTCAACTACAGCACCCCATTCTGCTTAAAGAGCACACACCTTTAAAAAAATGTTTTAACAATGAGTGGAAAAAAGCATTTCCAGGAGAAATTGGGGGGGGGGGGGGGGGCTGTTCCTTTAAGAAAGGGAGCAGAGGCCCCAAAAGGCTCACTGTAGTTACAGGCCTGTTTGGCTGTGATTTTAGCCATTTGTGGATAATTCTTTTCTGATCCCATTCCCCACCCTACTTTGTCAACAACACAAAAAACAAACTGAGCAGCCCCCAGCTGCCTGGCAGCAACTACTTCTGCAAAACGAAATGCGGGTTTCTGACGGTAAGAGGCTCAGGTCTCAAGCCTCGTATGGAGGCAGCCAGCTTCAGTAATGGATGTGCATTTTTTATCTCTGCAAACTGCCCTGGGGTGTGTGGCTGGAGCGTAAATGTCACAAACAAGTCAATGAACAAGGAAGTTAGACCTCACCTAGAGCATTGTGCTCTGTTTTGGGCACCACGCTTTAAGAAGGATATAGACAAGCTGGAGCGCGTCCAGAGGAGGGCAACGAAGATGGTGAGGGGTCGGGAGACCAAGTCCCATGAGGAAAGGTTGAAGGGGCTGGGTATGTTTAGCCTGGAGAGGAGATGACTGAGAGGCGATAGGATCACCACCTTCAAGTACTTGAAGGGCCGTGATCTAGAGGATGGTGATGCAGAGTTGTTTTCTGTTGCCCCAGAAGGTCGGACCAGAACCGACGGGTTGAAATTAAATCAGAAGAGTTTTCGGCTAAGCATTAGGAAGAACTTCCTGACAGTTGGAGCGGTTCCTCAGTGGAACAGGTTTCCTCGGGAGGGGGTGGGCTCTCCTTTGGAGGTTTTAAAAAAAGAGGCTAGAGGGAACACTGGGGCAAGGGACGCTCTGTCTTCTTGGTGCTTGGTGGGGGGGGCAACAGTGGGGGGGCTTCTAGTGTCCTGGCCCCACTGGTGGACCTCTTGATGGCACCTGTGTGACACAGAGTTTTGGACTGGATGGGCCATTGGCCTGATCCAACATTGGCTTCTCTTACGCTCTTACGGAAAGCAGACTTGGCCTTCTTTGTAAGGCTCCCTATGTTCCTTTGCAAAGGGGAGCCACGGGCCAGAAAACACCACTTATCATCTCCTACCCCCCCAACACTGCAAGTCACGTCTGGCCTAGAAATAGACCAGAGTGCGGCATGGAAATATACACCAAACCAAGATGGAGCAGAACCAAACAGTATGGTTTCGAGCAGCAAAAGAAGAAGAAGAAGAGGAGGAGGAGGAGGAGGAGGAGATTGGATTTATACCCCACCCTTCATTACCCAAAGGAGTCTCGGAATGGCTTACAATCTCCTTTCCCTTCCCCTCCCCACAACAGACACCCTGTGAGGTAGGTGGGGCTGAGAGAGCGCTGACAGAAACTGCTCTTTTTCAAGAACAGCTCTTATCAGAACTACGGCTTGCCCAAGGTCATCCAGCAGGTGCGAGTGGAAGAGTGGGGAATCAAACCCGTTTCCCCAGATTAGAGGCCGCGCACTTAAACCACACCAAACTGGCCTTTGGCTACACCAAACTGGCCTTGCTATGTTGGGAAGGCGGCTTTAGGGCAGCGGTTCTCAACCTGGGTTGCGACCCCTTTGGGGGTCGAACGACCCTTTCACAGGGGTCGCCTAAGACCATCGGAAAACACAAATTTTCAATGGTCTTATGATAGCAACAAAAATAATTTTAAGCAATGTTCCCCCTAAGCTGTGGAGTCCTGTGAGCAAGAATTCTACTTTGTGAGTCACGGGCATTAAAGTTGTGAGCGGCCGATTTGGCTACTGCATAAATTAGTTTGCTCTGGAGCCCTCCTTCCTGAGCTCAGACAAAAATGTGTGAGCTGAAGGCTAAGAAACTGTGAGCTAGCTCACGTTAACTCAGCTTAGAGGGAACACTGGTTTGGGGTCACCACAACATGAGAAACTGTATTAAAGGGTCATGGCATTAAGAAGGTTGAGAACCACTGCTTTAGGGCATCAGTCAAACTAATAGTCTCCCCCATTTGTCAAACTGTCCCCCCCCCCAATCCAAAACAATGAGATATTTCTCCACCTACTGGGGCACACTGGAAAGATCTCCTCCCGGATTACAAAATCCAGATCACCTGGTTCCTCCCTTCCTGGTCTTTTGTAACAACAGCCCCCCTCTTTCCCACCTAACACAAAAGGAGGGTCACCAAGCAGTATTGTCTCCATTTTGATTTGTTTACCCTCTGAATCACCAGAGGAAGCACATCCAGAAACTCCTCCTAAGAACATCTCCTGTTGTCTTTTGTCCACTACTGGGAACCAGAGAGCCAATTTGGTGTAGCGCCTAGGAGTGCGGACTCTAATCTGGGAGCACAGGGTTTGATTCCCCACTCCTCCACAGGCAACCCAGCTGGGTGGTCTTGGGCCAGTCACCGTTCTCTCAGAGCTGTTCTCTCAAGAAGAAGAAGAAGAGGAAGAGGAGGAGGAGGAGGAGGAGGAGGAGGAGGAGGAGATTGGCTTTATACCCCGCCCTTCACTACCCAAAGGTTGTAAAAAACTCTGAGACACCTTTGGGTAGTGAAGGGCGGGGTAGAAATCCAATCTCTTCTTCTTCTTCTTCTTCAAGAGCAGTTTCTGCCAGAGCTCTCTCAGCCCCACCTACCTCACAGGGTGTCTGTTGTGGGGAGGGGAAGGGAAAGGAGCCCGTCAGCCGCTCTGAGACACCTTTGGGTAGTGAAGGGCGGGGTAGAAATCCAATCTCTTCTTCTTCTTCTTCTTCAAGAGCAGTTTCTGCCAGAGCTCTCTCAGCCCCACCTACCTCACAGGGTGTCTGTTGTGGGGAGGGGAAGGGAAAGGAGCCCGTCAGCCGCTCTGAGACACCTTTGGGTAGTGAAGGGCGGGGTAGAAATCCAATCTCTTCTTCTTCTTCTTCAAGAGCAGTTTCTGTCAGAGCTCTCTCAGCCCCACCTACCTCACAGGGTGTCTGTTGTGGGGAGGGGAAGGGAAAGGAGCCTGTCAGCCGCTCTGAGACTCCTTTGGGTAGTGAAGGGCAGGATATAAATCCAATATCTTCTCTTCTCTATACAGAGTTTCCAAACTACATTGTTCTAGCCCTGATTAATCTCATCAATTCTTTGTTCTGAGGGACCCCTCACATTAGCAAGCCCTCTGCACACATTTTTGGGGTATAACTAGCCCATCACAGCCGCAGTCTCAGTGTATCTGCCTGGGCGCCAACTGGCGGGTCACTCCCAAATTCATTTGGGCCGTTTCCCGTCTTTCCAGTTTCTGCTCCATGGACCCCTGATCTCCTGGATAAAGTATATTTCCCCAACGCCCCCCCCCCCGATTATTCCCAACGCCCCCTGATTATTCTAGCTCACCTCTGCGCTTCCATGACTTGTGTGTATGATCTAACGCGTGTTTTATTTCTGTATGTGTGCATTTTATGAGGACGTTCTTCTGTTTAATAAAAGCAACCTTTTTGGTTAAGCAACTATCTGGTTATTAAGAGTTCTCATAAAGGGAAAGACCCCTGTAAGCGTAAGTAGTAAGGTCCTTGCTTAATACCCTGCCTCTCGCTGAGCTAGTTTCCCCCCCAAAAAAAACTGAAGTCAGCGATTCAGGTTTTTAAATCAAAGCTGGTAGGGGTGCGGGAAAAGACTCTTGAGCAGTGTTCCCTCTAAGCTGAGTCAGGGTGAGCTAGCTCACGGTTTTTTAGCCTCTGGCTCACACATTTTTGTCTTCGCTCAGGAAGGAGGGCCCCAGAGCAAACTAATTCATGCCATAGCCAAATCACTGGCTCACAACTTTAACGCCGGAAGCTCACAAAGTAGAATTTTTGCTCACAAGACTCCACAGCTTAGAGGGGGGTATTGCTCTCGAGAGTCCCTTGGACTGCAAGGAGATCAAATCAGTCGATCCTAAAAGAAACCAACCCTGACTGTTCCCTGGAGGGCCAGAGACTGAAGCTGAAGCTCAAATACTTTGGCCATCAAATGAGAAGGGAGCACTCGCTGGAGAAGACCCGGATGCTCGGAAAGACTGAAGGTAACAGAAGAAGGGGACGGCAAAGGATGAGATGGTGAGACAGAGTTATCGAGGCAACGAACATGAAACTGAGCAAACTCCGGAGGACGACAGAAGACAGGAGGGCCTGGTGTGATGTGGTCCATG